CTCTGAACGGCACCGAATATGGACCATGGAGTATGGACTGAAGTTTTTATTAGCTTCAATCTTGCCAACACATAGTTATGGGCATTCGCTGTCTCGCATCCCTTCTTTCCAAAGTGCCACCTGGCTCAATAAATCGCGTAACACTGCTCGTCAGCAGAAGATCAAGGCACACTGAACCTTCTTACAAAACCCCACCTTGGAGAACAGATAAGCCGACGTCGAGACGATAAACAAATATAGCGAAGCGGTCCGCAATGCCAAATACCATCACGATATAAAAGTCACCGGCTAATGTCGCAGCGCAAGGGCAGTCGGTAGCAGAGCAGCCAGCAGCGACTACCTCTCTGACGAGACAGTACTATACCTTGGCGAACAAAAGGCGTGGACGTTCGAGTTGTGCCAAAGAGACGTTCAGTTCGGCTGGTCGCAATCCAGATCACCGAGAACTTGATCTGGCACATCTCGCCAATAGCAGCAGCTGCTGGGAAGAAGCTAGGCTATTTCTTTAGGACGAAGAAGTACTTTTCCCCACATGACCTCCACATTCTGTACAAGGCCCAGGTAAGACCTTGTTTCGAATATTGACCACACGTTTTGGGTGCTGCCGCCCCAACTACATTATCCATGCTCGATGCCGTCCAGAGGAAGGCTGTCCGACTGATCGATGACTCCTCTCTAACAGATAGTCTCGGGACTCTTTCGCACCGGCGCGTCGTTGGCGACTTAGTTCTGTTCTACCGCATAACCAACAAGCTTTGCTCCTCAGAGCCCTCCTCCATGTGTCCCGGCATTTAGGCATTTTATTCACCTTATCGAGTCACCAAATATGTATATGCTGACCAGGATGGCAACCATCTCATATCAAGCAGATACTCGAGGAAAACCGTAACATAATCAGATCCATATTTTTATTATGTATGTATATGGCTGGCACGCCAAGATATACAAAAAATCATATTGCGCTCCATCCCTACATATAAGAGCTTTCTGTCAGAGGCATGGCCGAGTGGGTGTATTATAAAAAGGTAAACATTTTTGGGTCATCCACATATTTGAAAGAATTCGATATGCTTCTTATGCATACAGCCTCTGCGCTCCGTGATCTTTTATCTGCAAGCGACTCTGAATAGGAAACGGAGCTACTGAAAACGTTTTGTACCACTTTGAGCGAGATTTTTGGCTGCAGAAGTGCGCTGGAAATGTATTATGCTTTCATGTACTTATAACACTCATCGCTGTTGCTCCAGATTCCTTTCCCCCCTTAATCGTTTATCTGTCTGTTCAACTAGAAATCCACCCTTGCGACAATCATATGCCAATAGAATTTTTAACTGGAAACCATAGTATAGTTCTCCGAAGGTTTTTGATGTGATCATCCGAATCCGTGCTCCGAAACTCTCAATTGGCTTTAGTTTGTGATATATCCTAACCTTATCATGCAAAACAAAGAAATGTTGCCTATATTCAAGGATAAATTATTTTTATTTCAGGAAGCCAGAAACAGCGTCTCAATGTACAAATTTTACCTTTTCAAACCCCATTGAGCCTGATTAAGCTTTCCTTTTCGCTGAGATATGGTACTATGAAGTTTTAATTTTTCTGGGCTTCACTATATTTTTTGATGTACACGTTATGATTTAATAGGCATCAATGTTATGGTTTGAATTATAGTACACGAAAATTTGATAATAAGGTACTGCATTTTTATGAAATAAGACCGGTGAAGTAAAAAATCTCATAAAACCTGGACACTATATCCATAAAATGTTACTGATTTCTACAAGACTTACCGAAGTGACAAGCCCCCAACCATCGTAACCTAACTTAGAATCGTGCACTTTTTTAAACGAACAACTACTTTTTTTCTGATAAAAGCCGAACCGATCTATCTTACGAAAATTTACACAAAACGTAACCCACTCTAGCCTATCTAGACTGAAGCTCTTACTTTCGATTGCACACTCTTTAGATAAAAAACTGCTTCCTTATAATAAAAACCGAAACAATCCAGTCATAATATCCAAGACGAATCCAAACCACCAGCCTCCAATCTAGTAGATTACTGATGTAAACAGCAAAATAAAAAAGATAAATATTTTTAGGCAAACTCAACGGCATTTGAAAGAGCAAGGCCTGTATATTAAAACGATGTCTATGGTTTTCTTGAAAAAGAAAAATTGACCTGATAAGATAACTTAAACACACGCAACAATCGCAGTTTTTGCACTCCAGCTTAGCATATCTCGGAAACTACAGCGAGTTGAGAGAACTGGGCCACGGACTTAGTTTTCTTGATAAGAGGAGGAGAGGTCGGACTACCTTTGTAGAATTAATTATTATTCATTGTAACTAACTTTGTTAGACAATATGAGCGTTTGACCCTAAATCAAGGGACTTTTTGTGTAAAGGTTGATGAACTTTTGATGGAAAGCATAATTTTCGTTATTTTTAATACCAATGAGAGCTAATATTCTATTAAGTTGCGTTTTATGAAAATTCAAAAATAAAAAAACAAAGAAACCATATGGGCTGGTGTCTTTGGTGTTATTAGGGCGAACGTGTCAAAGGTAGTTAAGAGATTCCAATAAAAAAAAAGAAAATCAATACGAAGAACTGGGAAGAATATATATTATTAAAACCTGGAACTCAAGGTTTACCTCAAATTCTGTACTTCCTTGATCTCGGCAATCGGTGGTTATTTGCCTCAGCTGATAATGATCTGCTATTGTTGTTCCCCCGTAAATCGAGGACACATTTCATCAGAATTCTATATAAGTCTGAATAGTAAAATTCTTTTTAAGTACAGTTCGTCAAGTGTAGGAAGAGATATGAGGATTTGATGGGATTGCACACACGAGAGAGAGAGAACGCATTCGGAGCAAAAGAGATGGCACGTACGAGCCATTCCATCTCGAGTGGTACAGTCTGCATCCTAAATTAATCGAATAATTTCAATAATGGAATACGTATTATGTGAAGCCTGATTTTTTTAATCGAAATTGTTGGCATGTGTCAAAAGGAAACCAAACCATAAAATAAGTATTGCACGCTATGTAGCTATAAGACTGGAATTGATTGGTACTCATACTATTTTTAATTGGTATTAATTTCAAATAAAACACAATCAAATGAAAGGTAAGGTCAGAAAACTGACATCGTAGTAGATACAGTTGGCAATATTTTAAAGATTTATGAAGTTTCACAGAGGATCAAATCCTGAATTCGGAATCGGAATCTGAGCTGCTACTTAAACTTAAATCTTCGATTTCGCTATCGCTATCTTCGTCTAGGTTTATTATTATTTGATCCACAGACAAGTCGAGTGCTGGTTGTATTACCATATACTACTTCTCAAAACCTTTGGCATGCTCACATCGCGTTTTCCATTCTTATGTGGGATAACACGCGAAACAGTCGTCGCAAAGTTTGTTGACAGTCTTGAGATTAGAATCTACATTTCTCTTAGCCACATATTGTTTCAATGATGTCCATATCAACTCAATTGAGTTCAAGTCGGGGTGATATGGTGGCAATCTCAAAACATAATCACCTTACAATTCACAGATAATTATGGGTTAAACGACTTACCTTAAGGAAGATTGTACGAGATTGATCACATCCAAATAGAACCACCATGTAGCATACCCCTTAACGCTGTGAGTGCGCCAGTGTTTAGATAAACGTAATCGCTGCCACCTAGCCTGTCCCATCCCGTAGCACTGGTCATTATACTTCGGAGCTGGATATGATCGCTAATGGGTAAATGGTCTTGTAAATGTTTCTTTTTTTAAGAAAACTGTTTAATAAATTGTGGGAATTTGGTTCTATTTGGATGTGACCAATAACGTATAATCTGGATTGAACTTCCTTAAGGTAAGTCGTTTAATCCATAATTATACTTCGATTGGTCACATCCAATTAGAACCACCATGTAGATGTTTAGAGAATTTAGCGATCCAATCAAATCCCACGAAAACTTATGTTTATTTTCCAATCTAATTCCAACAATCGATTTATCATAAATCTATTTCCCAAAATATATTGGATATATAATTATGTAATACGTAATTACTAGTACTTTTCAAGTAGTGCACTATCATTATAACTGTTACATTTATATGTATGTGTATAATCCTAAGACTATTTGGCTAAGCTTAACGATATCATTATTGCAAAATTTCTTTTATATAATTAGCAAAATATAATCCTTTGGGTCTATTATAAAATTTTGAAAATGCTTCTGACTTCTCTGACCACCCCGCTGCACTTTGGATGTTTTCAACATGTATCCCAGTTTGCAATGCTGCTGTAGATGCTGCGTATCGAGTGCTGTAGCCCTTAAATTTATTTGTATCGATTCCACTCAGCTTTAGTACATTTTTGATCCAACGACTGATTGTCTGTGATGTAGCGGTGTGATGAGGTTTTTTATGTGTTAATATGAGCTGATCATGATTGCCTCTCAGCTCAAATGTGGCATGTATATAGTGTTTTATTGTTGTTGCAGTACAAAGATTTGGTCTTTCCATAAAACATGGAAACAGTAATTTCGGTTGAGCTTTTTTAACGGTAGAAGTTTTGATAACATCCGTTATGTGTATCACTAGCTCATGTTCCTGGGTGCTAATATTACTTATTCCAATTTTGGATAAAGTCTGGGCTCTTTGTGCTGAACTCATTTCCAACAATATGAACAAATTTAGGGTAAGATCTCTCAGAGTGAGATTTTGTAGTGGGGATAGATTTTCTGCAAATGATAACACCGGAAGGGGATCCCATATTTCGTCGTACTTAGGAAACGTTGGCTTCACTTTGAATGCTCCTTTCATAAATCTTTCTACCAATTCGCATTTCCCTACATCCGATATAAGATTAAATGCTGATCGGTGAATGTTTAGCGTATTGTAGTTAGCTACTTTTTTGAATTGTTTATCTAAAAAATTGAGAACATTTGCTGTAGCTGGTGAATATATAGTTTCAATGTTTCTAGCACAAAAACTTCACCACTTACCAAATCTAGAGTTATATTGTTTCAGTATGTTGGTGCTCAGAGAGGCCAGTAGAACCTCTAGGGCATCTCCTGTTATGCCCTTTTTGGTGTATATCTGCCTGACAAAACTGCTGCTCCCAGGGTAATCTGTTGCCATAGCGGATGCGGTTCCCTAGATGGGGATGACAATAAATTAGGACGAGGTTCAAGAATTACTATGGAGGAAATTAGCATAGATTCTAATTTTGGAAACCAGACCTGCGATTTCCACATCGGAAATACAGCTATCCCTGCTGCTCCATTATCCTCCAATATCTTTAAAACTTTGAACATTAGCGAGAATGGAGGAAATATATATGATTTGAATCCTATCCAGCAGAGAGAAAATGCATCCACTGCTAAGCTTTGTGGGTCGGGATGCCATGACACAAATTTTTTACACTTGTTGTTAATGTGTGAAGCAAATAAGTCTATTTCTGGCATTCCCAACCTGCTTGTAATTATTTTGTAAGCTGTTTTATCTAGGCTATACTCAGTGTCGATATTTTTTATTCTCGACCAACTGTCTGCCACGTGATTGTCTTTGAAGTTGATATAGCTAGAAAATATGGATATAGCTATCTCCTCACACCACATCCATATCTTCGTAGACAAGTCACTTAGATTTTTATATTTTGCACCCCCCATCCAATTTAAATATGATACTGCCGTTTTGTTATCGACCCTGAGCAAAATATAACAATTGCGATGCTCCTTCGCAAAGGACTGTAAGCAAAAATAGGCCGCCTTAAGCTCCGGGATGTTTACGTGTTCTTTACATTCTATAGCTGGCCAGAAACCATTAGTTCCTCGGTTATCATATACAGCCACCCACCCTAGCTTTGAGGCATCTGTAAAAATATGCATATCAAATTCTAGTGATTTGAAAGATTTCCCGGCCCTATCGATGTTATTTAGCCACCATGAAAAACCTTCCTTTAAATGATGTGGTATTTTAATGGCCATGTTATAGTTTTGATTATTATGCCTTAAAGAAAGGTATTTGCATGGCTCTTTCCATATTTTTTGTGTATAGCCAACCGTTTGTCATTGCTGGGCAAACCGATACCAGATAACCTATAATTCTTGAAAACACCCTAATTCTAATCTTGTGTTTTGAATTAATGTGTGTAACAAGTTGCTTTACTTTAATTTTCTTCCTTTCCGGAATACCCATTACCATTGTGTTTGTATCGAAGGCGAACCCAAGGAAGTCTGCTTTTTGTGATGGCTGGAGGCAACTTTTTTGATAATTTATGATATACTAAGTGACATATAAATCCGAACACCCAGTTTAAATGATTTTATTTTAATATAATTTTGTATAAGTACTTAATGAAGCATAATAAGTAAATGATAAAAATTTCAAAATGATTGCACTGCTTTAAAGCCCTTTGACCTTTAATAATGTGTGTATGCACCCTGATGTGCTACGCATTCTCCAACGCGCCTAGGCATGCTTCTGATCAGGTGGTCAATGTCCTCCTATGGTGTCTCATTCCAGGCAACCACCAACTCCTGTCGAAGTGCTTCTAGAGTCTGAGGAGGACGTTGCAAATTGAGCAATCTCCTACCCATCATATCCCACACGTGCTCAATTGGGGATAAGTCGGGAGATCTTGGTGGCCATGGTAACAATGTGACATTATTATGTTGAAAGAAGTCTATTGTGACTCTTGCAACATGTGGTCGGGCATTATCTTGTTGGAAAGTAGGATCTGCCAGGGTGTCAAGATAGGGTAAAATATGGGGTTCTAGAACTTCATGGATATAACGCTGCGCGTTCATGTTACCTCTGATGAAGATTAAAGGTGACCTGGAACCATAAGCTATAGCACCCCAAACCATAACTCCAACAGTGTGATGAACATGTCTTTCAACAAAAAACAGTGGATTCCTCCTTTCACCACCTCGCCTTCTAACCCTGGCACGACCATCGTGCATGCCTAAACAAAATCGAGAGTCGTCACTAAAGACAATACTGTTCGATTCCTGATCCCAGAGCGACCGTTGTCTGCAACACTCAAGGCGATTACGTCGGTGTTCTCGAGTTAAAGGGAGGACCCAGTGTGGCCGGTATGAAAACAAGCCAAAACTTCTCATTTGTCGATAAACACTTCGCATGCCAAAAGGTCTTCCGTGTTCTGCAAACCATTCATTTGCAGTGGACCTGGTAGTGGAGAAACGGTCCCTTAAGGCCAATAATCTTAGGCGGCGATCTTCACGGTCTATTGTTCTAGGTCGGCGTCCAGTGCCCCTTGCTCTTTGCGTACGGCCTTCTCGAAGCCATGCCTGACAACACCTAACCACCGTGTCTACACTTCTTTGCACTCTAACTGCAATTGCCCGAAAAGAAAGTCCAGCTTCCCGAAGTCCCACTATACGGCCCCTATCAAACTCACTAAGTTGACGAAATCGTACAGGTCTCCGTACTCTAGGCATCGTAACCGATCGTAAAGGATGTCAAGAACCAAAATCCGCCAACGTTGATTCTTTACTGCGGCTGAAATCTTCATTTTTAGAGCGTTAGTGAATTAAAAAAAAGCAGTACAAAAACCGGAATGTCCAACTGATAAGGCTGAAAATTTTTTCACTTGTTGTTTACAGTAAGATAAATACATTCACCAACTTTTATTAAAATAAAACCATTTAAACTGGGTGTTCGGATTTATATGTCACTTAGTATAAAAACCAGTTTTGTCAATAATTCCCAGGTTTTTTCGATATTAGTGCGACACTGCTGTTCAATCTTACTTACTTATAGGATATCATCTACGTATGCTGGCTTGAGAACTTTAGTGAAAACAGAAGGGGCCACTGAATGTCCAAACGGTAAGCATTGAAACTAAAAGTATGTCCTTGATATTCAAATCTCAAGTACCGTTTATGACTTTTATCAATTGGTATTAAATAATAAGCATCTTTGAGGTCGACGGAGGCTAAATAATTATTTTTAGAAACTAAATTCCTCACACTTCAGGAATCTTCAAGTGTAAAGTGTGGGGCACTAACTAACTGTTTTAAACTAAGAATGAATCTATAGCCCCAACTGGATTTTTTTCCTCAAAAAAATAGGATGATAGAAATTGATTTTTTGAAGGCTTGACCTGATTTATAGCACCAACTTTTTGCAATTTAAATATGCACTTAGTGTATTGGTGTTGTTTCTCCAAATATTTGATTTTAAAGTTCGGCTTGCAATACTGGTGAGGAGGTTTGCAGAAAGGTATTTTGATTCCGCGAACCCTCTGTAAAATTGTTTCGTTTTTTGTGAGTCTTAGCCATATTGGTATGAAGTCACCTATAGGACCAGCATATTTTACCTCTAGCGGAGTTTTTTTGTTCTGTCCTCTCTCCTGTAATCCCCGGTGCCTTTCTTTGAGTAACCGTCGGTCCTGGGTTGTCTGCTCTTCGCCTGTTTGTTCGACCAGGTTGTCTTCCACCGTTTCTTGGTTGTGCCGCCCCTCCAGTTTTTCGACGTAGCAGGTTGAGTAGCACGCATGTCCTTGATAGTGTTTTCTAGCGTCTTTGCCATCTTGCTGTTTTCGCCAAAATCTTATCCGAAGAGAAGGGTGTCAATTCTTTGTTTGATGCAATCTTTTGGATCTTGCTGTTAAAATGGCGATTACAATTCAATTTTCGATGTTTCGATAGTTCATAATGGCTTGAACACAGCAACTGGCCTGCCTCTTCCAGTTTTGTGAGATGAGAGGGGGTTTCATCTTGCGTTTCTTTGCCCATTGTGTCTGTTATTATAGCACCGAGGATTCCAGTACCTTTCCCCAAGTTGCCTTGAAGATTATGTAGAAAAGAATCCTTCTTTAATTCAATAGGCGAGAGCATTAACTGGACCTCAAGATTGAGCTTAGGGTACTGTAGCATCAAGCAGTTCCCAGGAATAGGAGATGATTCTAGGAGCTTCATCCAAGCTTCTTTCTCTAACCCTTGGCATAAATAGTTGTTCCAACGAATAGCAAGTTCCTTGGAAATGTCTGGTCCCACATTTTTTGATATGGTGGGGTCATCTCCCAGTATGCCAGTAGCATTCACCTCTTCCTTGGCTTCATCGATGCCGGACGAGGATGATGAAGAGCAAGTCTGACTTACTGACCTCTGTATCGGATTCCGAACCTATGGCAGAAAGACATTCATGTAGGCTTAACTGTGCAGTCATTCACGAAGTGAACGTATTCCCACTATGAGTCGAAGACTATGCGGGATTATAGTGATGAAATATTGTGTGGCTCACGGAGTGGAAAAATCCCTGCTGAAAAGTATCCATCGAAGAGGGATATTTGACCCTATCATAGTGGAATGTACTTACTAGAATAGTCCAACTTCATTGAACGTTCCAGCTTCCTCATCTTTTTCTTCAACTTCTCAAATTCTTCTTTCTGCAATTTACGTTTACGGCTCACTGTTGCACGATATTACGCCCGACGAAAAAACTGCACAAAAACAATAAACACTTGACTCACTTCACTCAGAGCCAGAAGTATAATGACCAGTGCTACGTGACGGGACAGGCTAGGTGGCAGCGATTTATCTAAACGCTGGCGCACTCACAGCGTTAAGGGGTGGTTCTATTTGGATGTGACCAATCGAAGTATAATAAGTAATAAGGTTCTTTCACTGCCTGAAAATTTTTTTCTTGACTGTACGCTAACTATTCTATCCACGACAAGAGACTACTGCTTCGTCCGGCGAATTGAGCTGCTAGCTACTGCGCACCGAGAAGGCGTGATATTATTAAAAAATTCGCATTTTTTCCTATACTTCACGAGCTGCAGCTCATCAACCGGTACGAGTAATACACGTGCGTGTGTAGCATAACATTGAATTTTATATTATCAACGTCCTCATTGTAACATAATACACTGTGTCTCGCTAGACCATAGGACCATAGGACATCAATGTGCAGAAAAAGCATCAATACGCCAACAAAGATGTAGCCGATATGTGTTTGATATTTGATCGATGTTTGTCAGAAATAATATTCGGTGTATTCTCCGATGGACTGTGCTCATAAAGTATGTGTCGTTTTAAGTCGCAAGTGCTTGTAACGCTTGTAACGAAATATGTGCGTGTTGCTTGTTGAAAGTGGTACCTGGCCGAGCACATGTGCCGCAACATGTCGCAGACTGTTAAGACGTCTGGCTAACATGTTGCGTAACATGTGTCCTATACATTGATTTCTACGTCTGCAAGACTGTCTATACAGAAGTGCAAGTAAATTCTGTATTATTTGTCCCTCTATAAATTGATAATGCCTTTAACTTCATAAAAAAGTCACAGGCTCTGATATACAGCTTTTCATACATTCTTTGTATACCAGAAAAGTGCTATCGAATAAAGTTGTATTTTTAACACGCTTATAATGGGTGATTCTTTTGCTAGTATCTTCTTGGCACCACTGTTTTTGACAGATGACGCGTGAATCGTGTTTTGTGTCATTGTCAAACTTGTTTAGTTGGATCTATAATTTAACCATGTATCGACTTACGAACGAACAACGCTTGCAAATTATTGAATTTTACTATCAAAATTCATGCTCCGTTAAGAGAGTGCATCGAGCACTGCTTCCAATTTATGGGCAATTTGGTCGGCCTGCTGAGGGAGCTATTCGGAAAACTAAATTTCGAACCCAGTTTACATTATTGGACATTAAACCACCAACACGCAGACGTAGAGTGAGGGCTAAAGAAAATATTGCGGCTGTATCCGCCAGTGTTAGTGATGACCGTGAAATGTCGATTCACCGCCGTTCGCAGCAATTGGGCCTCTGTTACTCCACTACGTGGAAAATTTTGCGACAGGATTTGGGTGTAAAACCTATTAGATACAGCTGGTGCAAGAATTGAAGGCACACGACCTCCCACAACGTTACCAATTTGGTGAATGGGCGCTGGCAAAGTTGGAGGAAGATCCACATTTTTATCGAAAAATTGTGTTCAGCGACGAAGCTCATTTCTGGTTGAATGGGTACGTTAACAAGCAAAATTGCCGCATCTGGAGTGAAGACCAGCCAGAAGCATTGCAAGAGCAACCAATGCATCCCGAAAAAATCACTGTTTGGTGTGGATTATGGGCCGGTGGCATCATTGGGCCGTACTTCTTCAAAGACGACAATGGCCGGAACGTAACTGTGAATGGCGAGCACTACCGTGCAATGATAACAAACTTTTTTTTGCCCAAAATGGAAGAGCTGGACCTGGCTGACATGTGGTTTCAACAAAACGATGCCACATGCCACACCGCACACGAAACAATGGCCCTATTGAGAGGCGAGTTCGGTGAACAGTTTATCTCACGTTTGGGGCCCGTCAATTGGCCGCCTAGTTCGTGTGATTTAACGCCGTTGGACTACATCTTGTGGGGCCATGTTAAGGCTAATGTCTACAGGGATAAATCAGCAACGACTAACGCACTGGAATCCAATATTGAAGCATTTATTCGTGAGATACCGGCCGATATGTTGGAGAGAGTGTGCCAAAATTGGACCTTGCGCATGGGCCATCTAAAGCGGCGCCGCGGCCAACATTTACATGAAATAATCTTTAAACATTAAATTATATCGACCGTTCTATTGACTCAAATAAAGATTTAATCGTTTTTTCAGATTTTTTGTGCTTTTATTGAAAATCAAATCCTATACCTCTTAAAAAATCACCCGTTATTAGCTTGGCCTGTATGTATGTGTGTAACGGAATCTTTGAGTGTAATTTTAACCAATTTCCAGAAGTTTGATTAATTTCAAACTTCGCGCACGTATCAATGACCGACGACAATGCAATAATTTGATAACAGTTTTCCGTCATGTTTATTCACAAAATTCTGTTAGAAGCAGATATGTTAATAAAAAGCTACGGATTTCATATGCCATGTTACGAATAGCGAAACTGTAAGACTGTAGCTCAGTGGCAGAGCGCTGGCCTTGTAAGCCAGTGGTCGTGAGTTTAATGTGACAGGAGGCAGATTGTGCTATACCTTTTTTAAAAAACGCTTTTTTATTGGCTAGGCCTGTATGTATGTAATGAAATTTTTCAGCATAATTTTCACCAACTTCTAGAAGTTTGATTAAGTCGAAACTTCGCACAGGTTTCTATCAAGAACCGATGACAATGCAATAATTTCCATTCTCCTTATTAGGACCGCCAGAACTGATAAATTCGCTCGCGACTATTTGCTACTGCAAAACCTTATGTAGCACTTAGTCGTGTAAGATCTTTAGATGGTATTCGGATTGAAGAACTTGATTGCTCTAAGTTAACAGGAAAATACCTATGCAACAGTGAAGCTTCAAGTGAAAGATTAGATTACGAAATGATTCGTAAGACATTTCAATACCACATGTCCGCAAAGAACTAATTGATAAATAGAACTAAAAAATGAAAAAAACTCAAAAAAAACACGCTTTTAAAGCTAAAGAGTAGAACTAATTTTTGATTACAAAGAGTTTATATTACAGTAATAGATGGTCGGACAATCAATCATAATTAATGACCTCAAAATAAAATTATAAGAGAATTTAAGTTATTAACAGAATAATTCAATTCTGAGTAAAACGCGTGGGGTGCATTTCACTACATTTTCACAACTCTTCTAGCATAGATAGTTGCCAATAGAGTAGTAGTAACATTTCATATATCAAGCACCCCACGCTTTTCACTCTGAATCGAATTATTCTTTTAATAACTTAAATTTTATTATAATTTTATTTTGAGGTCATTAATTATGATTGATTGTTCGACCATCTATTACTGTAATATAAACTCTGTTTAATTAAAAATTATTTTCTACTTTTTAGTTCGGTTAGCCTTCAAAGCGTGTTTTTTTAACTTCTTTTAAACTATTATTTGTTCAAAATACTATGACCATCATTTGCCATGATGAAAACTATCCGACCCTCTGAATCGTTTCAATAACCCTTCAGGAAACAGTTATATGTAAAAGTTGCATGGTCTATTATAAGGAAGGTTGTGTATGCCTCAACTCCTTTTTGTGTCTTAGAAAAGCCCTATCCAATGAATTTTTGGCTCGAAATACATATTTGAATAACTTTTGAGTATCATTAATCTATATGTATCAGAGTTGAAACTATTTTGGTAAATCAGGCGCCCATGCAGTCTGGTTAGATGGAAATTTAAAATTAACTAAGGTGACAAAAATATGTGAATGGTGTAGCGCATAAATGTGGTAAGATCAAAACTAAATTACCTAAGTAAATTTATAATATTTGCGACAGGAATCTGTATTCGAAAGCTATTTGCACCTACTGGAAGGTGACGCCAGAAGCTATATAAATATGTTTGTGACTCACCTCACGTGTGTATTTGACGCTGCATCTCCTAATGATTGTATTCTTGTAGAAAAAATTAGATTTTCAAAAGAAGATTGCATTTGTGCACTGCACCATCAGTGTAAGATAGTTCATATGTAATTGGCATCAGAAAAAAATTGCTGTTATTTCCTCTAAAAATATACAATGCGTTATATTTAAAAACTTTATTTATAGCTATTTCCTGAAACACCATATAGGCAAAAAGATACTGCTTGGAAAAATGTATGCTGAAACCTATAACTTTTTTATTGTAAAAATATTGGCCCAATCATCTGTGTGCGTGTGCCGTATTTGGACATCACTTACAATTTCTATCGTCCCAGTCTTGTTACTGAGTAGGATCGGAGTATTTCACTTAGCACTAATAAAACACCATTTTTCTTCATTCTCAAACATGGCATCAGACTTTTAATGAAATATAGCTCGACCTCCCTCGGAATTATTACTGAGATTTCGAATTGTTAGAGTTTCTCAACACCGGGAAGAAAAATCCGATGAGTTGAGGCAATAGCCTAAAGACGGCGGTCGACGAGTTAGCGACGCCTTGGTATGTGTGATCATATTTACACAAGCACGGCTTTCAATTGCATTGGATATTTTCTGGTGAAATTTGTTAATCAGTCGTGCCCTCCTAATGACGGCGATTAAAAAAGATGCATCGCAGTCCCGGAAACTAACTAATCCACATCTAATGACCGGTAAGGGGAGGAATGCGCTTAAAGTATAAGCCCAAGAACAAAATTGCTCTCAATCAAGTACCACTACACTCCCAGCCAGGGTAATGGGAATC